ATTTTAAAAAGAAAAAATCATTTCTCACAGCACAACAGCAGTCTCCTTATGGTGCACTGGTGTGCTTTGGCCTGCGGTCTAAGATTTACTGATGAGGCCTAATCCTGAATTCTAAATGTGCAAGTAATTTGCATTTTCCTCAAGAACACAAGTGCCTTTGGAGCACAGATCCCCATGCCACCAACATCAACATGGGGATATTTCTGTGAGTAAATCATAAAACTTCAGGGGATGCAAAGCTGCCCTGAATGACAGGGGTTTGGGAATGCAGAACATTTAAATAATTCAAACCTATTGTTAAAGCCTTTTGCATATTCACACGAATGGGTGCCTAGAATATAATGAAACTCTTCAAATGAATACTGTCAAAGAAGGAGGCGATATAAGATCATGTTTCGAAAAAATCAGTGGTGGTTGCTGCTAGCAACCCACCAACTCCCATTGTTTCCAGAAACTGCAGGTAGTGGGTACCTGTCATATCTCGACAGGAATGCAGAAAAGGGGCAGTCACAGTCAAGGTCCCGTTCCAAGTTACTGTGATGCTCTTGATCTTATTTCAAACACTAAATTCACTAGATGCACAGATACTGAAACAATTTAAAGGGTTTGATCCTCAACACCAATGATCATAGAAGCAAACTCTTGCAGATTTTGAAATGTGGAGATACTTTATTATATGCTGTAGGTCAGAGCTCAAAACATTTTTCTATATCAAAACAAAAGGTCACTGGCAAGTCCCAATGAAATGAATGGCAAGGTTCTGGATATGCTATTGTATTTACATACAGGTGAACATACACACATGAGGTTCTCTAGTAGAAAATGTACTATACTGCAAGTTTATCTTGCTACTGCACTCTAAGAACTGCCTTAGCTGTTTGTATGATAAAGATAAAAAACAGCATAGCATGTTGAGTCCCTGGATATGAAAAGCAATTTATCCAGAATGTAGCTGCTAGACTGGTGACTGGGAGCAGCCACTGAGACTACATAACACTGGTCCTAGAAGATCAACATTGGCTCCCAGTATGCTTCCAAGCACAATTCAAATTGTTGGTGTTGACTTTAAAAGCCCTATATGGCTTCTGCCCTGTATACCTGAAGGAGTGTCTCCACCCACGTTGTTCAGCCCAGACACTGAGTCCAGCACTGAGGGCCTTCTGGCAGTTCCCTCACTATGAGAAGTTAAACTAGAGGGAACCAGGCAGAAGACTGTGTTGGTAGTCATATCCTCCCTGTGGAATGCCCTCCAGGCAGATGTCAAAGAGTTAAACTATATACATTTTTGGAAACATCTGAAGGCAGCTCTGTTTCAGGAAGCTTTTAATGTTTGATGTTGTTTCCTGTATTTTGTGGTTTTATATTTTGATTTTAAACTGTGAACCACCCTGAGATAGCAACAGCAGCAGCAGCAGCAACAACATTTCTGCTGGAAGTTGCCCAGAGTGACTGGGGCAACCTGGTCAGATTGACAGGGTGTAAAAATAAATTATAAATGGGAGTAGGAGTATCATGAGTATTATGACTATTGCCTCCTTGGTTCTCTGAAGAATAGCAAAAATACTTTAAGTAATAATGCTTTAGTGTACAAAGTGATCACTTAAATTATCTTGGTATTTCTTACAACAACCCTGTAAGGTGGGTCAGTGTTATTCACCTCATATTGCTTTATGAGAGCTGAAGCTCAGAGAAAGTTCCTTCTTCAAGGCCACCTGCTGGAGTCTGAGAGGAAACCAAGGTGCAGATCAGAAATAACAATAGCAGCCAATGGCGAACCTCACAGTCAAACCACACTTATGAATAAAGTATTTTTGTTTGCTTGCTCTGCAAAGTTTAGCGAACGTGTAGACAGCATTTTGAAAAATTGTATTCGGGAGGATGCCTATTCCCAGCTATTGAAGACCAAGAACAAAACTTTTGTAAAACAGCAAATTTGGCCAGAGCAAAACTTCACCTTATTTCTAGGCACTGCTGCAGGTTCATCCTTTGGGTAATGTGTTTCTGCCAGGTAGGATACCAAGGAAGCAGGCATTTTTCAAAGCTCTAAAGTGCCATAATAGAATTGTAGTTTCAAGATTGTAGGTCAAATTCCACTCGGTTACATACTGAGCTTGGGGGATATATTGCAAAAGTACTCTCAAACAGTTGTTTGAATAAAAGCCAGGAATTCATCGTAGTAGTAATTCAGGGCCTCTTTATTCATTTTCCACACGAGCGACTCTAAGAATGGATGCAGAAAGCAGAACTCTTACAAGTATACTTCAAAAAGCTCAATTACAAGAGTCTAAGTAGGTCAGGGGTACAGAGTTTCTGCCTTTGGAACAAAAAATGAAAGCCTCTAATTATTTCCTTACAAACACCCTATGGGCCATATTTAATTTAGCTCCACTGCGATTTTGGTACGACTCAGGCCAATCTCCTTGGCTAGACCTGCTATGCCAAATCCATAGATTCCTTTTCAGAAGCAGTTTTCATAAGGCCCCTGATTAAGCAACAGCCCAGTTACTTCCCAAATAATCTGCTTAACGCAGAAAGGTCTAATTCTGCTCCAGGAGGGAGGAACAGGCCATTCCTGGCTTGCTATTTTACTTTTTCCTGCCTTGTGCTCCATTTTGTCGCTACTTGCTGAGAACTAATGACTCTGTGAGCCCATTTTACAGTAAGCGTGCATCTCTGTGCATGCAGCAAATAAACGCCTGTATCAACACTCGGGCCCTTCTCTGATAGTCAATATGGAGTGATGTAATATGCATGGAGGTGAGGGACAGAACTGTATTCAGCAAACCATGAGAACAGACACTAGAAATGCACCTACTGTGTACACATGCAAGCCCAGTATTAGCTGACTCTCTGATCCTTTGCATGCATACCCATGTATGGTATGTTCTCAAAGTCTCCTGTGAGCACAGAAGGAAGGAGACAGACCCTTGTGGAGACACATAGAGCATGATGAGGGATGTACTTCTCTTTCCCAGCCTAGTTTCTCCTGCCCCTGCAGCCAAAAGAAGAGCCTTGCTGTTGGTTCAGACCAAAGACCCATTTAGTCCAGCACTGTGTTGTCACAGTGGACAACCAGATCTCAGAATCATAAAACTATAGAGTTGGAAGGTATCCCAAGGTTCATCCAGTCCAACCCTCTGCAATGCTTATATATATTTCCATGGACGCCCATGGAAAGCCCCACAAGCATAAGATGAGCACAACAGCACTCTCCAACTGGCCATACATGACCATCATGTCTAGTAGCCATTGGTACTCTTATCTTATATGAACCTCTTTATATATCTCCCTGGAAATTTTGCAGGGTGTGTGTGTATGTGTATCAGTTTTACAAGTTTCCAACTGGCTCCCCAGTATGTTCCATGCTTTTTCTACTCTTTACCCCCTGAAGACCTTGGGTCATTTCTGAGTTAATCTGAGGGGAGCTTGGGAGAGCTCATCCATCTCAATAGTCACCTGACAAACAAGCTGGCTACATGGTTGGCCTTGTCTATGAATTGGTCTTAACTCCCAATGGAAAGTCACAATCCAGCCACATTTCCCCCCACTTATTTCAATGAGAGGGGTAAAAAGCATGCTTAATTCTGCTGTGTTGAAATAAATGGGGCAGAAAAGTGCTGGATTTTCATCTAGTTTGGTTGATTCCTGTACTAGTTTGGCTTTGCCCACTGTCCTAGCAGGGTGCATAGCCTCAGACCAAATATTCTCTTTTCCTTTTCCAAAATGCTTAGTGACAACCCATCACTTCATCTTTTCCAGTTGGAAAACATGTTAAATAATGTATTACGTTACAATGATTTTATGTCACACTCTGAAAGCCTGATGAGTGCAAATAAACAGTATTCTGGGTGTCAGAAAATCTGTACCGAACTCTTGCCGAGAAGGAGGAATACAGGTAGCAATTAGTAGGTGGTAGTAGATGCCAAGATGTTTCTTGAGGCTTGAATAGAATGTACTTTTGGAAACATTTACAGTGACTGACACTGTTGACTGAGTATGATCAGCCTGAAAAATTATTTCGTTAGGCCTCGTAATGCTTAGGAGCATGCTCTCCCCTCCAGACCCCCAGGAGAATTAAACATAAATTCTAACAGCTTGTAAATGCTTTAGTATTCCACTTGCCCAAACCCCAGTTCTTGCCAAAGCCTGGACTTCACATAAGGGAGCGTGAAACACCTTTGATCCTCTTTTTCACCATTTGTGCTGTGCTAATGTTGTTAATAATGCCAGCTACTACATGGAAGAGACAGCCAAATCTACATCCCCACCAATGTCAGCTTGATATTTTCATTACAGATGACTATAGAAAATCCAGATTAAAGGCTTTGAATCTGCTTTTAGTTTCCTTTAAAAATGAAGGAGGGAACTGAAAGCATCAGATAGTATTAGCAGTACTGTGGAAATGTTGTAAAAGTGCATAACTATTTCCTCCCCACGCCTTTCTCCAGTCTAACTTTCCCCCAGAGACATTACTATTTGCCCTTCGGATGAAAAATAACCATAGATGCATGTTTTTCCCAAGGGGGGATAGGAATAGGATCTGGGGGCACCATTTAAAATGGGAAAATGATACAGGTCTAAAGGATTTACCTGCTCATCCTGGCACCATAATGCTAATCCAGTTTGAGATGTTAAACAGCATAGGATTTAAGAAGAGACTGCTTGGACACTGAAGTTGTCCATCAACAATTAACACCTGGGCAGCAGAACAAGCAGGCACAATGGTCAACATTCCCCCCACTATGGCAAGCACACCAGCGGCCACCCTGTCAGGCCTGCTGGAGGCGGTGGCCGGCTGGGCCTTGGAGTTCCCTAACCTATTGGTATTGGGGGACTTCAACATCCATGCTGATGCCACTCCCTCCTCACAGGCTCTGGACCTGGTGTCTTCCATGGTGACACTAGGGCTTTCCCAGTTTGTTTCGGGCCCCACACATCAAGCAGGCCACACGCTGGATTTGATCTTTGGCGTCAGTATAGATGTGATCATGTTTCCTTCGATGAAGGTGCCATGGTCTGATCACTACGCTCTGAAAGCCAGGATTGACGTTCCACCCCCACCCTACTTAGGTGGCGAGCTGATTTGGGCTCGCCCGCAGAGGCTGATGGACCCTGATAGATTCCGTCAAGCCTTGTGGGACCTTTCTCCCCCTGGCGACTCATTGACTGAGCCTGTTGAGGGCTGGAATACCCAGCTCCTGGCAGCCATCAATGAGATCGCACCTAAGCGCCCTCTGCGACCCCGCAGAAACTGGGCTCCTTGGTTTACCAAGGAGCTCCGGAAAATGAAGCGGGACCTCAGACGGCTAGAGAGAGAGTATGGCGGGGTGCCCGTGATGGAGCTTCAAGAGTATCTTATAGGGTTTTTATGAAAACCTACGAGATGGCAGTGAAGGCCGCTAAGAAGTCCGACTTCTCGGCCTCCATTGCATCCGCTAGCTCTCGCCCGGCGCAATTATTTAGTATAATTCGGTCTTTAACGTCCCTTGAAGGACAGCCAAATTTAAATAACAATTTGACACACAGCTGTGAGGCATTTGCGAGCTTTTGTGCGGAGAAGGTCCTGTTGCTCCGCCATGACCTCCCTGCCAATTTGGATACAGTAAAGGAACTGGAGGCCCCTCGACTGTCCTCGGGTCCAGTATTGGACCACTTTGACTGGATATCCCCAGCCGATGTGGTATAAAACAACAACAACAACAACAACTCATGCAAATCTTTATCCAGTCTGTGATGATGCATAAGTGGCTACACTTAATTCTTCTTCTTCTTCTTCTTCTTCTTCTTCTTCTTCTTCTTCTTCTTCTTCTTATTTTAAATGCTGGGAGGGTTTTAAAAAATATAGATTATTCCCACAGTTGCCATTAATCTACAGTTTGAATTGTACAATCCCCAAAATTGCACCTCATACTTCCCATATCATGTGTTTTAGCTCTCAGTGATGTCTCCATTGGAGAATAAGCAGCTGAGGGGTGAAAGATTTCCAGGCTTCCAGGAAATATGATGGCTGCCAATGCAAAAGAAAAGCAGCCATGGGAGCTTTAGAAATCAGAACAAAAATGTATCAGGCACGAACTCTCTCTCCCTCCCTCCCTCCCTCTCTCTCTCTCTCTCTCTCTCTATATATATATATATTTGTGAACAGCAGTTCAAAACAAATCTGAACTTTTAAAAAATCCTTCAGTAGGCCCATTAAACCTAGTAGAAAGTTTAAAATGACCACCATATATATTTATTTCATATATGAGAGAGATGTTTTCTTTTATTAGCTCTGCTCCAGCACAGATCCAAAAGGGGGATTTCAGAAACTTCAGGCCTGGTCTGAGTCAGTTTATTAGGAAAGAGGTTTTTTTTATTGCACTACTCATTGTCTCCCTGTGGATATATAGATTGATGCTGTTTTTGTCTCTTTTGTTTTCTTCCTCAGATGCAATGTATTCCGTGCTCTTATGGTGTGTGTTTTTAATCTCCAAAGTCAAAATAGCTAACTCCCCCCTCCATGCTCATCCTACCCCCATGTGAAAATAGTGCACATCCTTTTACAATCAACAATGAATGCAGCCCATCAAGCACTTCAGTGGCGGGCCCCTATGGATTCCAGGCATGTGGAACTTACCCAGAAGCCATGCTTGCTGGATTGATTCCAACATATGTCTCGTTCTTTGTTGTGGAATTGTAATCGCAAAAAGGTATCAGACAGTATTCCAGAAATCCATGAGCTTTCTATTTACTACAACACTCTTGAGTGTGCTTTAACAATTACATCTGCAAAGCAGCCCAGGTGGTTATGTACAAGGGAGCCACACAAGATGCAGGGCATGGGAAACTCCAGGGAGATTAATGCACTATTGTTAATTATGATCATCATCACTTTAAAAGGTGGGACTTGTTACGGACAGCGGCTGGAATCAGCATGATCAGCAATGTTGTGATAGCTCTTTTGTCCCAATACACACAAGGGGGAATGCAGTGATACTTTTTCTGTTTTCACTTTTAGATGCTAGCGGACGATTGGGAGGGATGAAGCATTACGGGAAAATTAAACTTAAAACTCAGAAACAGAAAGGTTTTGCAATGACTCTACCAAAAGAGCATGGATACAGTGAGCACATGCACATGTTCATAATGTACGCCATGAATGTCTTGGGCCGAGAGAATATTTATGTGTTAACACAGATATGGTAAATGTGGGTGTCAGGGGACTGCCATTGGCTCAGAGGCGAGGAATAGAAGGGCAGTTATGTTACAGGGAGCCTCCGAAAATCTCCTGAAGCGGTTCCTCTTCCAGGAGGGGAAGAGGTGCAAGGACCTCTAGTGGGGAAGAGGTGCAAGGACCAGAGGATGCTGGTGCGAGCCTTAACACTGCTCCTGGGCAAGTCGGACAGGAGGGAAACACGCCCTTGCCATCGCCCATCCTGCGCAGTAGCCTAAGGTGCAAAGAGGGAAGGAGAAGGTTGGGGGTAACAAAACTCTTATGTTGGGGGAGGTCCAAAAAAAGACCACTCCCGGATTCTGCTAGCGATTGAGCCAGAAATGAGCTTTGGAGCTCTTCATTGTAAATAGTTTGCACCAAAATAAAACCTGTAAAACACAGGTTTGGAGTCCTGCCTGGTTACTCTCGAGCAACCGCAACAGCCATCTGACAGCGGAGAAGTTTGATATGATCACTCGCAAGTGCCCTGTCCTGCAATGCACAGCCTGGTCAGCTCCCTGGTTTCCTGTAGAGCTCTGGGCTATGAAGCAAGTAGGGTGATGGCTAAAACCAAGTGGCAAGTTAAATAGCAACTATGACTTAACTCAAGCAAGGAAACATTTTTGCTTCTACTTTTTGGCAATGATGGCAGCAAAGCAAGCTCACTTTTCTACCACCACTGAATGCTCAGGGAGCTGTCCAGCAGAGCTTTTTTTTTTTATGAGTGGTGAATGAGTTTTTAAGAACAGACACAGGAAAGGGTGTTCTGGGTGGAACCCTTGGAAACCCTTGCAAGACAAATTTGAAAGGCGCTGTGAGGATAAGGTTGCTCATATGCCTTCTGAACTTGATGTGGATAGTGATGGTGATACAGATCCAGTGGAGGTGTCCAGAATATCACCGAGTCATTTTGCTTGGGAATGGTTTCAGTCAACGCAGCCCAAAGATGAGGATACTCTGCCAGCTACCTGAATTCTTAACCCTTGCATTTCTTTCTTTATCTCGGTGACTTTTGGTAGCATTGACCATGGAATCTTGCTGGACCAGCTTGGTGAGGTGAGAGTTGAGGGCACTTTGATAGGGTTGGTTTCAGAAAAGGGCGTTGGGTGTCTTCTGTTTGGCTTCATAGCACTCGTGCTGTGAGGTCCCACAAGATTCCATCTTGTGCCCCATTTCCTTTGACTTCTGAGATCAGAAGCTGGTTGCTTCTTGTAGCAGAGGATTTGAAGTAATATGCCATCAATATATTAATGGCACTCAGCTCTATTCCTCATTGTCCTTTGAGTCAGGTGAGGTTATGCAAGTGCTTTACTGGTGCTTGGATTTAATAACAGGCTGGATGGGACCAATACACTGAGGCTGAATCCTAACAAAGCAGAGGTGCTGAGGATGATTGGTTTCAATTCCCAGGAATTAGTTGTGCAGCCTGTTGTGCATGGAGTTGAACTTCCCTTGAAGCTTGGAGTTCCTCTGGTTGCAGCAGTGTCATGCAAGGCCATTGTGACCTCAGCGGTGAGGAGTGCTTCCTTGCATCAGACAAAAGTCCCAACTGGTCCAGCATTCTATTCCCACAGTGGCCAGCTAGATGCTTATGGGAAGTCTGCAAGCAGGATATGAGCACAATAGAACTTCCTTTTTTATGTTCTCTAGCAACCGGCAGTCAGCAGCATAGTTCCTCTGATGCTCAAAGTATTGCATAGTCATCATAACTAGAAGCCATTGGTAGCTAATCCTCTTTTGAAGCTGGTGACCATCTCTACATCTCGTAGGTACAAAACTCAAATCTCTTTCCTTTTTCCCTGGCCAAGTTTAAACAGCAAAAATGTCCTTGCAACTCTCCTTGTCGCAGTGGCTTTATTACAAACCCCATACTGGCAGATGAGTGGGACATATTCCAGAAGTCTGAAGTAGCTGCCTAATGGTCAGCTTAATGAGCCATTGTTGCCACTGTGAATGATCCAGCTACCAAGTCTACTTACTGCAGGGGCTACGTGATTAAGAAAGCATGTCAGGAATGCTATCTGCAACCTGTTTAATTTCTAAAAACTGAAAACATTCAGACCATTAAAGCTAATGCCACAGAATGCTCCGAAGTTCCATTATATATGCACAATGGAAACAAATTATGATAGCTGTAGGGTACTGTACTTTTGAATTTCTTGCCTTTTGTGTGTATTGCCATTTATTAGAGTCATTAGGGTTTGGGGCTGAGAAATACCTTGGCACAAAGATAATGAACTCACAAGATGTTTCTAATGCAGAAAGAATACTGGGCATTTGTTAGCAGGAAAGCTGTATTACCCCTAGAAACAGCCAAAGAATGAGATTACTATTTCCATCTAAAATCCAGCTGTCTTGGCAGTAACAATAAAACCTTGTTCATATTCCCTTGACTGGGAAGGATGCCAGTGTGCTTATGTTGTCTGTTTTCACTGCAATATTTCTGCTTTGCTTAAGGTAAAGGATATCATCTCTGGCTACAACCGTAGAAAATTTAAATACATAGGAGCATTTCTCATGAAAGTTTTGTAAGTGTTTCTGAAATGAAGGCCATAAAACACCTGAGTAAAACATGAAAAGCTCTTATCTTCACACAGATAGGCACCTCGGAACTGACTGCAAATGGAAGCTGTAGACGAGAAAATTACAGTACCTCATCATTTTGTTTTCAAACTGAAAAGGGGGGTTTATAGGAGAGAGATAGGAAATATTGGGAGATCTCTCTTAGATACACTACAAAATGCAGGCCACAACATTCCTTTTCCTCAGCTTGTAGGCTGCTGCTGCCAACCCATCTTCGTGGCTCTCCAAAGATTAATCTCTGCACTGGGCTTTCTTAGGGGATTAGACAGCCTACTCATTTATCCAATTCTCATACTTCTTATACCTGGCATCTCAACCAAATACCTGCCCGGTTAAGGTAACAGTGAGGCTGGTGTTGGCATCATGCTGTACTCATAATTCATATGGTTTTGACTATACCTATGGTCCTTTTCTTTCTTTCTTGCATATCTCTGCCTACCTTAGATGGGGAAAAGACTCCTGTGTAGTGATGCCATAAAGGCAACACCTCACCACGTGCAACATGTGTGTGCACAATCATGTAAAACAGGTGGGGAACCTACTGCCCCCCAGATTTTCTTGGGCAACACATCTCATCATTTCTTAACATTGCTGATG